CCTCGTCCAGTTCCAGGGTTCCTCATGGAGGATTCGCCTACCTGATGGGTGGGAGCGGTTTACAGAAATTCACTATTGCTGCAGTCCCGTACACCTCCAACCTGCTGCCTACCTCGAGTACCTGGTAATTAGAAACATCTCTTTTTTCCGTCCTGCTATCATTTTCCAATAGAGAGAAATTACATATAAATATAGTAAATACTGGGAAAAAGTACATCAAATCATTTCTTTCTTAGAAAGTTTCAAACCAAGCATACAGGTGATTAATAAAGCTGCAGTTGTGTTGGTAATGAGCTGTTCCCCTGCTGTGTTGGTCACGGCGCCTTTACCCCCTCCACAGTATCAACATGCTGAAACTTCCAGAATACCCAAGCAAGGAGGTCCTGAGGGACCGCCTGCTGGTGGCTCTGCACTGTGGGAGCTACGGCTACACCATGGCCTGAGCTGAAGCGTCTGCAGCCTCCTCCACAGACGACCCTTTTGCAGTCAGCTGCTTCTTTTGCTGGATAAACAGGAAAATCCTTAAACGGATCCAGATCTCCCTTCACGCCTGTGCCAGGATTTCATTTTCAGCTTTCATTGGAGACCCAGCAGAGACTGACAGGAATGCAGAGGGAGAAGCGCCTCCTCATCCCACTGAGCTAAACCAGCACCCAGAATTTCATTTTTAGGTGATTTATGCAAATCATGTATTTAAATGGACGGTTTTTCATGCAGATATTTATTTAGGATTAAAACGTTATTTAGAAGATATTTTCTACTGAAAACACACATTTTGTGTTGAGATTATATATCAGTGCATCACAAACATTATCACATGAACGGTACAATATATGGATCACGTTTTGTTTTTGTGTCTCAGGCCTTCATCGTTCGTTTACTCGTTCTTCTCTGGGCCAGTATTGTGTAACTGTTTGATACCTGGGACAATAACAGTGAACGCTTTTTGATACCTTTGATTTTATAATTAAATGACCAAAAATAGTCGTAATCGTTTGATTTCTTAGATGACTCAATAATCCAACACTAGGACATTAACACAGCAGCCAACTGCACAAAGTATCAGAAACACAACCTGAGCAACGAAACATAAAGTTTGAAACATGGAACGAGTCTGTAAACATGCAGACTTCAGGTGTGAACGTCTGACTCCAGGTCCTCTTACAGGCTCCTCCTCCTTTCACAGATGTGTCCTACGTTGTCATGGCACCGCTAAAACTGTAATCAATGAGATTTTGTCATGTAAACCTTCTTTTAGGCTCCTCCCTGAAAGCTGAAACCAAAGTCAGCTGGATGAAACGTTTCTCCCGCTGATGATGATGATGATGATGATGATGATGATGATGATGAACAGGATCCACGTTTTGAAAGCAGGACTCTTTTTCAGTTTGTTATTGAGACGACACTGCGATGGGCATCGTGCCATTAATGTCTCAGCTCGCTGTATTTTTCCTGTTTGTAAAGGGAGCGTATAAATAATGTAGAGATCATTTAATCTGTCATATTTTTCAATTCCACGCCTGAAATGTGTTTTTATACAGATACTGGTGATACTGATGTGTGTTGATATTTTTGCTGATATTTGTCTTTGAGATTTTATCTAATAACACTCGGACATGCTGCTGTTAAGCAGCAGAGGCAAACATTTGTACTTGTTTTTTTTAAAGGGGCGGGGTTACCTGCAGGTTGTTTGCCTGGACAGGTGTAAATGTCCACGACATGCTCTGCACTGTCATCAGTTTAGACCAACAGCTCCTGTTTAAATCATAAACATGTTCGTGTTAGCAGCTCCTCTACCAGGACCTGCACCGTCACATTAGCGCCGCCTACTGGAGCTCGAGAGGTAGGACATATCAACCATTAGCATTTTTTTAAATAGGTGACTGGTTTTATTTTTTAAAGCCAAGAACCAATAGAAGCTGGTTTTTAATCATAAATTAAGATAAATATACATCATGCTGAGGATAAGTACAAATATTTCTGCAGGATTGAAGCTTCCAAACATCAGCTGATAGCAGAAAAAATATTAAGATCATTGAAATAAAGCTACTGCTTAATGCAACAAGAGCACGAGCTCTTTGACGAGAAGTTTGCAGTTTATTGATGAAGACTTACTGTCACTGATGATTAGTCCTGTTGGTCTGTTGTGTCTCAGGCCAGCTGTTTACAGCCAGTGTCTTTATAAATTAAAATAACCTTTATGTGCATGTGGTCGTTTTAGTCACCAAACAGTCGCCTCAAGAAACAACACTTTTAAGTTAAGAGCCAACAATCAAACGTTTGTCTGAGACATTTACCTGTTGGATGAGTGAGTTCAACAGCAACTTTCTACTGTTCAGATTGTGCTTCCCAACAGTGACTGTTCAAAGGAAACTGATACTTGATTGGTTTTTATTCTTTTACTTAACCAAATGGAATCAGGTTGTTTTTTAACTCTTATTTTTGTCCTCAGGCTGAAGAACCTGTTCAGGTGTTCATAAAGACAGACTTGCGATTCTTCTAGCAACACGACACAAGCTCGCACAGGAAACGTCTGCATTCAGACGTCCAATAAAAACATCGTTTCAGTTTGATTCATTTTATTTATATTGAGCTGAATCCAGACAAAAACATGTTTAACCAACGAGCAGCTTCTGTCATCATTCATGTCTCTGCTGCCAACCAGGCGATAACATTTGTTTTTACTCAAAGTCAGTGGATCATTCACTGTGAACGTTTTTTAATAAAAGACGTCCTCACAAAACAGTCCAATAAAATCCCGGCTTTTAAACGATGATAAACATTCAACTGTGTCCAGGTTTGGTTCAGTAACGGTGCCGTGATGGGACACGTGAAGGCTGAACTCAGGTCACCGATGCAGAGAGATGATTAAATGCTCATTCGTGGCAACATGTACGACTTAAATAAACCCTGGGAAGAGGTGCTGTAGGAGGAGAACGACGCCCACCACCAGCACGCCACAGAAGAACAACACCAGCCAAACAGGGAAGTATCCTGGAGAGAACACAGGAAATGAGGCTCTGAGATTACGAGACATATATTTAATAAATGATGATGCAGGACTTACTTCTTCTGGCAACACGGTGTAGTTGGCAGCGACTGTCCACAGCGACGCTCAGCAGGGCCGTTTCATTGCTCCCCTTGATGTTCTTGCCTTTCACGGAGTGAGGCAGGAAGGCCAGGTCTGTCACCACGATGCCGTGTGATTCATGTACATAATACAGCCTCTGCATACAAACACC